TGCGCCCCCNCCCCCCCAAGATCACACTCTTATTATTATTTACATAAATCGATAATAATCAGACATCCCAAATCTATTCAAAGTACGACCAATCCAAACTGTTCATTTATTGATTTTAATTCTATTTCGTTTTTAAAATAGGATGGTGTTGGCGACGGGCGCGGCGGTCGGTGTCCTGGCGTCGGCCTACTACCTGGGGTCGTCGCCCCTGTTGGCGGTGGACGAGACCAAGGGCGCTCCGATCGACAAGGACGCCAACTGGAAGGAGAAGTGGCGCGCGAGGTACAACGACAAGATCAAGAACTGGTCCACCCCCGAGAAGATCTTCAACGTCTTCGCCACTGTGCGCAAGGTATGTCCCTCTCCCTCTCTCTTGTTGCCAACGCACACGCGCCGCACGCACACGCCGCACACGCCGCACACACGCAACATAGACACGCAACTCACGTGTTGTGCGGTCACGTGGGGCGCTAGAATGGCGAGTCCTTCATGACGGTGGAGGACTTCTGCGATGCCATCCTGCCGGCCGACCACCGCCCGCCCAGCGAGAAGGGCAAGATCAAGAGGATCCCCGACTTCATCCGCTTCGCCGGTATACACCACCATCATCACCATCGGTGCCTCGCGCACTCCATATCTTCTATCTTTCTTTCTTTTCCACTTCTAACACGCACACGCACCACCGCACACGGCTCAGATCTGGATGGTGACGAGCTGATCTCGTTCGGCGAGTACAGCTTCTTCACCACCCTGCTCAGTCTGCCCGAGGAGCACCTCAAGGTCGCCTTCCAGATGTTCGATCTCGACGGTACGCGCTTGTCTCTCCCCTTCCCCCTCCCCCTCATCGTCTCATTCGCTCGCGCCTTCGTTCTTTGCTTCGCTTTTTTTTTTTCAGGCAGCGGCGCCATCTCGAAGCAGGAGTTCAGGAAGGTGCTCCGCGTCCTTCGCAAGGAGTCTCCGCTGGGCTCGCAGCAGACCACGCACAAGAAGGAGGTGGAGAAGTCGGGCATCTACGCGCACTTCTTCGGGCTCGACGGCAAGAAGGAGCTGACCTACACCGAGTTCGAGAACTTCATCAAGAGCCTCCACCAGGGCGTCCTGCAGCTCGAGTTCGATCGCTACGACTCCAAGGGCGAAGGTGCGTGCCGCACACGCACACGCAGCTCTTGGACCCATCGCCTAACTAACAATTCTTTCATCGTCGCGCGACGCGACGCGACGCGACGCGACACGACACGACACAGGCAAGATCACCGCACGCGCGTTTGGCATGTCGGTGATCGGCTACGTCGACCCGAAGGACCTGCCCTCGTTCCTGACCAGGGTCGAGTCGCTCGACAACCGGAAGGTGCGCGTCCTGGGGTGGTCACTCGCCGGAATGCGGCATTCTGACTGACGAGTTGGTCCAACTTGGTTGGGTTTCGCGAAATCGAAACGTAGGGTGAACTCAGCTTCGAGGACTTTGTCAACTTCAACAGAGCCCTCAAGAAGCTGCCCGAGATCGGTCTCGCCGTCAAGCTCTACGCCCAGGGCGGTGAAATCAACAAGAAAGGCACATACCACCATCACCATCGCCATTGTGTCACCAGTTGATGATTGCGTGTGCTGACTGCGCTTAATCAACGCTGGGTGCTCCCAGACTTCGGCAGGGCTGTGAAGGCCATCTCTGGCGTCGACCTTAAGCCCGTGCAGATCGATGTCATCTACCACGTGCTCGACAAGTACGTGCACTACTCCCTCGCAACACGCTGTTGGCTTGCACCTCTTGGGGCTCTCTCTAACGTGAGTGTGTGCTCGTCATCGCAAAGGGACGGCAATGGCAAGCTCGATCACAACGAGCTGGTGGAAGTCATGGCCAAGAGGTGCGCTTCACGCGATGCCCCCAGTTGGCGTGGCGTTGTGTCGTGCGGTACTTACGTCGTGTCGTCGCGCAACAGGGTGGAGAAGGGTATGGCGCACCACAGGGACGTGGGCGTGGCTCGCTTCGTCAACTGCCTCGTGACGTGCTGCTCGCGCAAGGCGCTCTAAGCTTTTGTATTTCTGAAGGTTCTGAGATGTTAGCAAACGAAGGTGCAAAAAGATGTTCCGCTGCCGGGAATCGAACCCGGGGCGCATGGGTGAGAACTATAAATGTTACCGACTACACCACAGCGGATTTGGTTGCTGCACAACGATCCATTCGGGGATTCAAGTCACCTCAACCGAGATCAAAATGCCTTGTTTTAGCGCTGTTTGCCAGAGTAGCCAATTGGCACACTCGCCAGCACTCGACTACCACCGAAGGGCGGGAACCAGAATCCAGGCGCCTGTGGGCGGTGTGTACTTTTTTGACCGGTCCTGTACCCGACGCCGCGTGAACTGTTCGGCCTCAACCGGAGGTTCCCCTGACACCCACCTCCTCCTTAACCCAAAACCCAACGTTATAGCGCCTCTCCCCCGACACCAACCATCAAGTTCACAACACAACACCCACGACTCTCTTCGCTTTCTTTAGCACCACACACACTGCAGTCAGTGCTGATCAGCACGCACTCGACCCCTGGCACGCGCAGAAGACTCGCAGCGCCACAGCTTCACTACGTCTAGTCTCGTTTCACACACAGACCCGGGTGAGAGATCATCATGATGCTTGTTCGTCTTCTACAGCGGGTGTGGACTCAACGGTTTGAAGATGTGGCGCATATGAGGGGGTGGTCGTGGTGGGAACCGCTTCGCCTGGAGACGTGTCATCCACTTCAACTGCTCCAGCCGCGGTCAACTCCGATCACTGAGACCAACACAACGGGGACGCAAGAACGGTGGTCCTTAAGTTCAGTTCGCCCCAGCGCCGAGGAGGCTGCATCAACATCAACCACGACTACCGCCTCGCCTCCTGCTGCTGCTGCGACTTCGATTTGGCCCTCCGATGTGATGGTGGACGCCCTGCTCTGCGGGCTCCTGCCCTGCCTCGTCCTTGCAATCATGCTCCTCCTGTTTTTACTGGTGCTACTCCCCTCCCCCCNCCCCACAACTANAACAAA